TTGATTTAACACTTTTGGATCTTAAATTTGATTACTAGTATCACTTTCTATTCAGGTAGAGTTTTTTTCTCTTTTTTATTTTATTTGTTATTACGTTGCTTTCCTTTCATAGTAATTTAATTAATAATTTAATAATTTATGCTTGTTGATGTGAAACATGGGAGATTTATTAGTTAGATGGATGATAATTTGTATTTGTTATCAATTTTGTGATAATTGTGTTTCATGTTGTTGTAAAGTATGAAGTCCAAACACCGATAATTGTGTTTCATGTTGTTGTAAAATACGATATATCGACACCGATATGTTGATGTTGATAATAATTTGAAAAAATAATAAATTAAATATAATCATAAGTGTAGGTGTTGGTGTTGGTTTCAGACACTAACAGGGACACGGACACGTCTTTTTAAGAGGTGTTGGTGCTACGAAAGTTGTAAACCAGTGTTAGGATGATGGATTTGTGTGGGAAATGGATTATGTGTTTAAGGGATTGGGAATTTTTTGTTGATGCTGTTGTTGTATTTATTTTACTTCCTGATTTGGTATGGCATAATTAATGTGATTTGAAACTGCATTAATCATAGTTGGTTTCATTTTAGTGTTACTATTTAATAGTTTATGCTTGTTGGTGTAAAACATGGGAGTTATATTAATTACATAGACGATAATTTGTATTTGTTATTAATTTTGTGATAATTGTGTTTTGATGTTGTAAACCAGTGTTAGTATGATGGATTATATGTTTAAGGGTATGTATTTTTTTTTTTTGATTTTTTTTCGTTTGAATACTTGGTATCTAGCATTGAGGCCGACTAGTCTAGGGGACTAATCCCACCGTCCATTAGCGGGGGCTCATTTAAAGCTAACGCTATGGACTGACTTAATACAAGGATTGATAACACTTAGCTGGATTTGAACCTGAGACCTCGAGAGAGATTTTGTTTGATGTTGGTGTTGTATTTATTATACTTCCCGATTTGGTAAGGCATAATTAATATGATTTGAAACTGCAGTAATCATAGTTGTTTTTATTTTAGTGGTTTCTTTCCTGATTCACTTGTGATATCATAATTGATTTCTCAGAGGTTTTAATGCTTAGACAGAAACTTAAATTATCATACATCTTAAAGGATGGATTGGCCTGGCTTTTATTATGTTTTCAATTATTTCCCTTTCTATTTAAGAATTGTGTTAGCTCTGTTTGTATTTAAGACACCTTGATGAAGGTTATTTCTGGTTTGATTTTTTATTGTCTGGATTGTTGAATTGAATATCATTCAGTTTGCGTCTTGGTGTGTCCCGGTCCCCCACGCAAAAATAAGATCTTGAAAATGGGACAAAAAATTTAGGACATTAATTGCTTTTTTTTTTTAAGGTTTTCATTTTTTGTTGGCGTTTTAGCTAATTTAGTCTGTGGTTGTAAAATGATTTGTAGACTCTGTTGTTTAAGAGATGAGTCGAGTGAAAAAGGAGAATGAAGATGATATGCGCAGCAATGGTCAATCACAGTCAATGTTGAATGGTGAGGGTAACAGGGGAAATGTTGGTGTTAGTGGTGGAGTGGTTCTGAAGAAAGGGCCGTGGACAACTGCAGAAGATGCTATTTTGGTTGATTACGTACGGAAGCATGGCGAAGGAAACTGGAATGCTGTTCAGAAGCATTCGGGCCTGTTTCGATGTGGAAAAAGCTGCCGACTGAGATGGGCGAATCACTTAAGGCCAAATTTAAAGAAAGGGTCATTTACTGCAGATGAGGAGCAGTTGATTGCTCAACTCCATTTAGAAATGGGAAACAGATGGGCACGTATGGCAGCGCACGTAAGCCCACTTTGTCTTTGTCGTTGCCTTACATCTCTAGTTTTCTTGTTTCATTTTTCCTGCTCCTTTTGGTTTTTGTTTAAGATATGAATATACTTTTGGTTTTTCTTTAAGATATGGATATACTTTTTTCCATAGTTGATGTCAATGTTGTTCCCAACTATATCAAACAAGCTAGTTTGTTTATGCACCTCAGCACCATTCAACAACAAGCATACAGATAAATGAATGAAACTCGCTATTTAAATAATCTAAATATGTATGGTTTCATCCTAATAGCTTGTGTTGCAGCTAATACTTATAGGGTATATATACAGTTTACTTGTCATTTACTTGTCGGGTGATCACATCATGCTTGATTTTGTGGTCTTCTGCTGCTTAACAAAAAGGTTCTTATGTAGCTAAATAAAAAGACAATTATGTCACCTAAGGTTTTGTAATTGCAGCAACCAGTTTCATGCTAAACTCCTTCACCTTTTCATTCGGTCCAAAGAATCATTTTTCTTTCTTTAAAAATTAAGTTCGACTTTTAGATCATATAATCCCTCTCTCGGTATTTTTAAGGACAGGCCACTGTCAGGTGGGACTACAGCAACAAGGGGTTTGATCCCCCAACATGCAGAATCCCTATTGCTGTCTAAATTCCATTAGCGGTCTCTCTTCCAAAAACTACAAAAAGTTGGAAAAGCCTTAAAGTTAAGCAAGGGTTGTTAGGACATTTTTATAATAGCTACATAAATTTGTAAGTTGAGTGAAAATATGAGGTGATAGATCAATGATATAAATAAAAATGGTTGTCTCCTCTAAAATAGGCGGTGCGCTTTAGAGAATAAAGCATGTTGTTATAGCTGTTGATCTGCAAATAATCCATTGAGAGATCTGAAAATACCTTTGATTTAATAAAATAATGGTTATTACCCAACAACACTTTTGCTAATCTTTGTAAAGCGGAGGATAATTGCTAGATTTTCAGATAAAAGCTTTTAATAAAATGTCTTAAATACTCCTGGACATTTTGGTTTGTCAAATAAAGGAGAACTGTAATTCACCAAAGTGGGAAAAGGCTATTAATCCCCAACAAAATTGCTTCTGTTACCACATATTGATTTTCTTAATCCATGATTATTTTTATAATTGATTTCTTTTGCTTTTAGTTGCCTGGTCGTACAGATAACGAAATAAAGAACTACTGGAATACCCGGACCAAGAGGCGTAGTCGGGCTGGCTTGCCACTTTATCCTCCAGAAGTGCGAAAAAAGCAAGGGAGTCAACGTGGCCAAGACACTGGTGGAACCAATAATGGTGATAGAGGGCATCATGATTTCTTGCAGAAAAACAACTATGAGATGCATGATGTAATGTTTGACAATTTGAAAGAAAATCAAGGAATCTTACCGATTACAGTTGTGCCTGAGAATCCTGATATTTCTGCGAATAGCATTCTGCTAAACAGTCTTGATTCTCCCCCATATTGTAATTCTGTGCCATCAACACTACCTACTAACCATCACCATCTTCGAGAGTCAACAATGTCTTTTCTTGGTTCAAGTGGAACAAACAAGAATTGGTTTTATCCATTTTACCATGTTCAGGATCATAGTTCTGATAAGATTGTACAATCATTCGGTTTGCATTCTCCCCTTGATCCTGGTTTCTCCTCACATAACTCAATGTATTACCGCCATTCCCTATCAAATGGCAATTCCTCCACTTCTAAGCCGACATCCAAGGCTGTGAAGTTGGAGCTCCCTTCACTCCAATATCCAGAAACCGGCTTCGGTGGCTGGGGGGGTACTTTTCCCTCACCTCCATTGAATGAGTCTGTTGATGTATTCAATCAGTCTCCTCTGCCACATGGTGCGCTAGAGTCCGGTTGTTCTTCCCCACGTAATAGTGGCACACTCGAGGACATAATTTATCAGAAGAAAACTCTTCCAAATTCAATGAACAATTGCTCTGACAAGAGTTCGCATTCATCTACTGCAACTCCTGTTGAAAGAGCTGAGAGTTCTGCTTTGAACATGAATGAAACAGAATGGGAAGATTACACTGACCATGCATCTTCCTTTGGTGCAACCTCAATCCTGAATGAGTGTCACGCTGTTAACACCAACGCAAACTCATGGGATAAACTGACACCTGCTCAGAACTTTAACGGTTAGTACCTTTTAATGTAGTATGGTGAAGACTAATAGTTGAACTTGAAAACAATTTTTAAATTTGCAGACACTTCCACGCACACCTTTGACACCATGCAAGATTTCATTTACATTTTCTATATTAATTGCTTTATTATATGCTTCATTGCTTCATTGCTTTATTATATACATTATTAAAATCATACTAGATTTCCCCTTTAATTTCTGTTTTTAGTTGTAATTTCTGTTAGAAATTTCTGCAGGCAACAATGTGAAATACGAGCCTGTTGACCAAGTTTGTACCCCAAAGAGTGAAAATCAAGGTATGTCTATGTTGAACATCACTTGGCCAGATGTTTTATTAGCTTCCGATTGGCATGAGCAGTGCTATGGGCATGAGAAGAACAAGACTGAGGCTGGTGACAACTTAACAGATTATAAGCATGTGGCTGGTGAGACTTATTCTTCAAGTACAGGGGGTTGCTTTATGCACATGGCATAACATATTTTCTGTCTGAAACATCTGATCTTCATTGAGAAAACAGTTAAAATGAATATTATGAATTTTTCCTTATGCATTCATGTTATTCTTTTGACGTGAGTAGTATTCAGTGTAATCTCTTTAGGTGTTGCTCGTACTGTAAACAACCTTGAAACTTCTAGGATGGTGTGCTTTTTCAGGTATTTGAATAATTTGTATAATGACATGGCACATGAAACTTTGGATTGCAAGTTGCTAAATGGAGTGATTATGTTTTGTATTTCTTTGTTCATGTTTGCATATTGTGTTGATATTTTGTTTTCATATGTTATTCTGAACAGTTTATAAGAATAGCCGAAAACAACTTGTGAACATGTATTAAGTTGTTTTAATAAATTCACTCAAACACTGTCATAGGTGTTTATGTCAGTAGATAAACTCGAATAAATTAATCCAAACAGACTCAAATCAAACTTTTGTTTTTGCTGATTTGTAGAAAATGAGTAGGAGCTACTAATTTGGTCATGATGACATAACTAACACTAATCTCTTCTAATGCATTATAATTTGAGATTCTTGCAATTTGCAGTGATGGAACTACTTCCAATATTTCCACTTTCATCATCTGATTCTGAAGAGTCATGCATATCATCTTTTGATTTAGAATAGCTTGACATATCAATACTGTCTTTTCCCACTATGCAGCCACTGCAACCTTCCTCTATATGTGTTAAGGCTTTGACCACCTATAATAACAGTATTATGTATATTAAGGCTTGGATTGGATTGAATTGTTATGTGAACTCTAAAAATAAATGCTGCAACTAGATTTTGACAGCGAGAAACTCGAAGTGTAGACTTACTGTGTTCATATCCAATCGTTTGTGAGGATCTTTGTTCAGACAATTTCCGGCTAAACGACTCAGCCAGAAAAGTTGATGACAGTCATGCGAATCCATTATCCTTCCATCGACAAGTTTTTGACAGTTCCCTTGTTTTAGTAATGGTCTAGCCTGTACGCGAAAATGACTAGCTAACCTCAATATCAAAATTCTATGTAACCGAAACCGCAATTTAAAATGATGATCGATTCTTACCCATCCCACTAGATTCTTTCCACCAAGTCTTTTGTCTGTAGTCTTCATTCCAGTTATTAGTTCAACTAGAACCACTCCAAAGGAATACACATCTGTCTTATTTGATACTTTACCAGATGCTGCATATTCTGGTGCCCAGTATGCCAAATTTCCAGGACATTCTATTGAACATGAGAATTCTTCACTTACAATTTTAGCCAAACCAAAATCACCTAGCTGAAAACAACATAAAAACAATTACAAATAACCGCATTTGATTTGATGATTATGATTTATGTTAAATATTTATGTTAAGAGATTACCAAAACTTCACAACCATGTGTAAGAAGAATGTTGTTTGGTTTTATATCTCTATGAATGATGTTATTCTGATGAAGGTATAACAATCCTTTGGCAGCTCCATTAGCAACTTTCACTCTATCTTTCCAGCAAAGGGGCTTTCGAGAATATTCTGCAACCGCAATTTAAAATCATAATCAAAAGGAGATGAATGAACTCGTAGAGTTACTAAGCTTTTAAATTTGATATCGCACGTGATAAATGTTGATCGAGTGAACCATTGCAGACGAATTCGTAAACAAGAAACCTATTGTTTCCTTCAGAACAAGATCCAAGAAACATGACAACATTCTCATGTCTCGCTTTTGTTAGTGCGTCGACTTCGGATTTAAACTCCTTCTCTTGTTTGTGATTCGCGTGAATGCATTGCTTAACCGCAATCTTCTGTCCAAGAATCTCTCCTTTGTAGACAGAACCAAATCCACCTTCTGACAGAAAATTCTTTATGGAAAAACCTTGTGTGGCTGCATGCAACTCAGCATATGTGAAGTCTCTTATTGTCCAATCAAGCTTTGGTCTATTGTTGTAGCACATTGAGCAAATGGATTTCAATGAAAGGTGTTCAACTGTTTGGTTATGAGAATGAGACATTTTTGTGAGAGCTTTTGGTGATGTTCTTCATTTTGAAGGGTTTTATTATTTATTAGCCTTGAAATTAGAGCCTAAAATTTTTGGACTTTGGAAGATACAATGTTGGCACTAGGATTCCAAAAGATGCTTAGGAGATGATTCAAGGACTTTATAATATTTACTAGTTGATATGGAATTTAGTATATTGATTCTTTTTTATGGAATCTTTTCTAGTTTTGATCATGTTTCAAAAACCGAACCGGTTCAATCTTTTTTTTGGTATAAATCGGAGAAATGAATTTTTTGCAGTTAATTAATAATCGCATGGAAATTCTAACTATTGATCTGTCAAAATAACTTGTATATATTTATTTGATATTAAATTGGTATCATTTGATTTCAATCATATGACTTATATCACATTGACTGTGTGAACGTGCGGTTTCTTAAATACAAAGAATTATAATTCATAAATCGTGTGCGGTTTTTTAAATACAAAGAATTATAATTTATAAATCGAGTGTTTGTTGCACATAACTGTATAGACTAATCTTTTAAGTTGATTCAATTGGTTAAATTTCTAATAGAATTTTATTATATTCTAATTATGTTGGTTAATAATTACAATGTATTTTTGATTTGATTCAAATGATTTAAGATAGATGAACTATGATTTGTAAAGAAGTGTCGCGAGTTTATAAAAAAAAATTCATACTAAGAAGAATTATATTCTTTTAGATCTAATCATAGTCCCTTTATTTATTTATTTCTACATTTAAAAGTCAAAATTAATCAAAAAGTTAATTTATCAATTAATTTTTGCAATCTTAAATATAAGAGACATTAAAATTAACAAAATTTAAAATATTTAATCAAAATTTTAAATTAAATACAATTTAATATTGTTAATGTAAACATATGTATACTCTAGATGATTAATGTCACACTTAATGCTCTCAAAATTGTTTTCTTAAATTGTTCAAGTAAATCCAACCAACTTGATTCAAATTATTTAAGATCCAATGTGACTTTTATATTTCTAGAAGGAAAAAAAAGACATGATTTGTTTTGGTTATACTTATGATCAAGAATATTCATCCACATGGGAAACTTTTGTGACTTTCTAAGTATGGAATAAATTTTTTGAAGCAACATAGTGCAAAACGAAGAAAACTCCAAAGAATTTTGGTGATATCTATTTGGAGTTACATATTCTATTATTTATGTGTGTTTTTTTATTATCAAAAGGGGTAAGTCTTTAGAGCAACATTGTCGAAGAGAATTATTGACAATTTCTATACAAGATTCGAATATACTTGCAATAACATTGTTGAAGAGACTTTGTTAAAAAAAAACAATGTTGAAGATTGGCAAATTAATCTCTTGAAAATCCTCAGAACTTGCAAGTTTTCATATATATATATATATATATATATATATATATATATATATATATATATATATATATATATATATATATATATATATATATATATATATATATATATATATATATATATATATATGAATAATATTTAGAAATATTAGATTTAATTTGATAATGTTTCTGATCTTACTGGATCAAAAAAGGATTAGCAGTCAGTAATACGTTGTGAACTCTTTAATTCGTCGATGGTGGAAAAGAGAAGGGGGTGTACCTGCAAGGTACTCTGATGCCAAAGTAATAGACGAAATAGAAAGAGCAAGTACACAGAAAGTGTGTAAAGAATAGAATATCTGACTCTCTAGTGAAAGAGGGTATTTATAATGTGCCCCCAGCGTTGGGCCAACGGTTACTTTGCACTAAGTTGGATTGCTAGGCCCAATACGAGTAACTGTCAGGGCTTACATGGCGTAGGAAAGACTAATATGTGGTCTTCGCCCTGGGTCAACTGCCCCGTGATCTTCGGGAGGTGGGTAGTTTCCTGATGACGTGTTCCCACGTGGGGAGCACGTGGAGACCGTGGGAGAGACGTGTGAGAACTTCTTGTATGCGTTGATGGATTGAACCTTTATTGGGCCTTTTCCGACTAGGCGCTGGGTTGGGTCGTGCCTGGCGGTGGGTCAGCCTCTGGCCCAGTCTAGAACATGAGCCCCCTAAGTCGTTGCTTCGAAGCGGAGGAGTAATGACTTAGTAGTCAGTTCGAACGTCGAGGACCTGTCTGGAGGAATGTTGTGCGTGTCCAAAATACTGGACTCGGAGACCAAACACGTGGCTAGGTGAAGGAACTGCTCGACCAGACAGGAGCTCACGGGGAAGCCTGTCCGTCAAATGTAGTCCTAGCTCTTTTCCTGTTTCTCCGGGGATACGTCCATGGTGGAGACGTGGTCGACGATGTGACGAAAGTGGAAGGGAATGAGCAACTCTTGTCTCGAGTGGGAAAGGGAGTTGAAAGGGTGTGCACGGTGTCTTCTAGGGCCACGTGTCAAGAGCAATAAATGCCTAGGGCGGCTACGAGTAGGGGCATTTGAGTGCCTAGTGATGCTTTGTTTCTTGTGCTAGGGTTATAAATAGGGGGAAGCCTGCTTCATTTGCACGCTCCTCTTCATTTCGCTCAGAAATTTTCCCAAGTCACTCAAAACTCTCTCTGCTCTTCAAAGAACGCCCGTCGCCGTCGTCAGTCTTTCTCCATCGTCCAAAATCTTCATTCCTCAAGTAAGTCTCTGGTATTTTCTTTAAATTTTATGAATTTTCCAGCAATTTATGCATTTTTTGGAGGTTTCTCCAGGGAGCTCATGAAGTTCTTGGGGAACGCGTGAAGTTTCCGACGACTTTCATGAAGTTTTCGGTGCTCCTATGAAGTTTTCGATGAAGACGCCGGGAAGTTCATGAGGATTCTGAGAAACTCTATGAAGTTTTCGATGAAGTCCTCGGGGACCTATGATGGAGGTCTCTGAGATCCTTGCTTCACTTGAATGTATGAACCTCGCGAGAAAGCCTCTTGTCGGGGAGGTTCGAGGAGGCTCCCCGCGCTCATCTGGAGAGATCTTACACACCGAGGAGCCTCTTCATTAGGAAGCGAGGCTTGTTGTCTCGCGTCAAGGAGAGTCTCCTTGTAGACAAGCCTCTTTGTTGAGGAGGGACGCTTACTACTCTGCATCGAGGAGAGTTTGTCAAGCGGCTCCTCATGAACGATCCTTTCTGTTGAGGAGGGAGGCTTGATCAATTACGTCGAAGGGAGAGCATGCCAAGCGGATCCTTGTGAACGAGTCTTTCTTTCGAGGAGGGAGGCTCACTATTCTGCGTTGGGGAGAGCGTGCCAAGCAACTCCTCGTGAACAAGTCTTTTTGTCGAGGAGGGAGGCTCGTTATTCTGCGTTGGGGAGAGCGTGCTAAGCGGCTCGTCGCCCCCACTTCGCCCTTTCACTTGATTTACGGTGGAAGGGTGAATTTGATCTTAGATGTCGAATTCACCGTTTTCCTCTGCTTTTCAGGTAAATTGGTCGCATGAATTAAGGGTGTTATTATGATCGATGACGAATTCGAGTCTGATACCCCAGTCGAGCAAGTTAGGGTTGATAGAGCTTGCACGACCGAAGATTGGGCCAAGCAAGAACCTTTCAGCATCGTGTTGCACTTCTCCATCGACGAAACGGACGCCTTCGCCACTGTCGAGGACCGCGCTGAGGGCTTTTCCTGAGCTAGATGTTCTATAAGCCTAAAGAGAAACACCACATCTTCTCGAATTTCAAGGGGATGAGGTTCCCTATGTATGAGTTCTAGCTTGTGTTCCGGCACCTTTGCATTGGAGCTACGTTCCCCTTGTTCTTCCGTACATTTCATCTGCAACGACAATATTTTCAAGGCCGACATAGTTGGGTGTCCCTGAAGCAGCCGAGGAAGCTATTTTGAGCATATATGGATTCTGTCTATTCCTTTAAGGACATGTACTTTGTCGTGAAACCCGTGTCGCACATAGCCATCGACTATCTATACGAACTCGTGGTCAAAGAGAAGGACGGGCAACGAGATGAGTTGTTGGAGTCAAAGTTTTCCCTTGAGTGGGAGAAGGACTACTTCAAGCAGGGCACGTACAACTACATCGTCAAGCCCAGTGACCTGAACGCCAATGGTCAGGTTTTCTACAAAAAGATAGTCGAGTTCGTCTCCAGTTTTACTCCCTCCAAATGCGTCAACAAGGACGGGAGTTTTATCCTAGACGAGTGCGGGGAGGTTCGCCGTTAGCCTTGATTGATTAACACCAAGGTTCTCATCGAGTGCGAGTATGACGAGGCGACATTGAGGTTCCTAGGTAGTGGGTTTTTATTTCGCTTTCTCCTATTTATTTTTCTTCATCATATTGACTTGTTTCCCTTTTCCTATCTTGTAGGCCAGATGTCGAACCTTCAGAAGCGTGTGATGAAGCTCGACGCAACCAAGGGAGCGAAGAAGGCTGCTAAGGGAAAAGTCTCTCAGGTCCAACAAATGTTGAGGTTCGATCAACCACCCGGTGGTTCCTTCTCTCTGTAATGTAGCTAGTCTCCTCCCTTGCAGGAAACTTCATCCAAGAGATGGCGCATCGACGACCATGTCCCTGTCGACCTTCCTGAGTACGTGCCCAAGAAGAAGTTCGTGCTGCCTCCTTGCTACCTCAATCAGGATTTCTTCCACGGGGGCAATTCTCCGACTATGGTTTAGGCCGAGACCAAGGCGATCATGGGGATCGACAGGGCGTCCAGGAGGAAGGCTTTGTCGAAGGACATGATCACTATGATGAGGATCTTTGAAATGACCTTGGTCCTCAATAATGAAATCATCCCGAACTCCGAGCTAAAAAAGCTGCAGGTCAAGAATGCTACCCTTTGGACGGAGAAAAATAAGGCGGAGAGCGACCTCCTTAAAGCTCATACGAGATACGAAAACCATGTGCACCTCCTCTAGGAGATGACCATAATGCGAGAAACACTAAAGGAGGCCGAGGGGAAAAGGGATCGACTCCATACCAAGGTCGCTGAATTGGAGACTGCTGCCAAGCCCGTCGAGGACGAAGCTGACAAGGAGAAGTCCCCCGCTTCTTGTAG